GGTGCGAAGGCGACTCTTCCTACTGAGGTGAGTGCACTATTAGCAGAGTTCGCAGACGTCTTCCCCGACGAGTTGCCCCCAGGGTTACCTCCCAGCCGAGCAGTAGACCATCGAATAGAGTTGGAGCCGGGGAGCAGGCCCATAGCGAAGCCGCAGTGGAGGTTGAGTCCAGCAGAGACAGAGGAGATGACGCAGCAAGTTAGGCATTTCCTAGCGCAGGGGTTCATACAGCCATCTAGATCGCCTTGGGCAGCACCGATCCTTTTCGCGCCTAAGAAAGACGGAGGGTTACGGATGTGCATAGATTACCGCGCACTGAACGCCACCACCGTCAAGAATAGGTTTCCGGTGCCGAGAGTAGAGGATCCCCTAGATGCAGTGCAGGGCGCTAGAGTTTTCTCCAAGATCGACCTTCGTTCGGGTTATCATCAGATTCGCGTAGTTCCAGAGGACCAGCACAAGACGGCGTTTCGTACGAAGCAGGGGTTGTACGAATTTAGGGTTCTACCGTTCGGATTGACCAACGCCCCAGCGACGTTTCAAACGCTCATGAACACCGTCCTCTCCGAGTTCCTAGGTTCGTTCGTTGTAGTTTACCTAGACGACATTCTCATATTCTCCAAGACGAAAGAGGAGCACGTGCAGCACTTGCAGAAGGTCTTCGAGGTTTTACGGAGGGAGCAGCTGTACGCTAAGCAGTCGAAGTGCGAGTTCTTTCTTCCTGAGGTCGAGTTCCTAGGACACGTCGTATCCGCTAGTGGCATTAGGACCGACCCGAAGAAGATCGCAGTAGTACAGGATTGGGTAGCACCGACCTCAGTCAAGGAGTTACAGAGCTTCCTCGGTTTCGCGAACTACTACCGTCGTTTCGTTCAGGGTTACGCATCGATCGCTAGTCCACTCACCGACCTACTTCGGAAGGGCGTAGAGTACGTTTGGGGTCCAGCGCAGCAGCAGGCGTTCGAGCAGATGAAGCAGTCGCTCGCGTCTTCACCGACACTGTCGTACCCTGATCCCACTCGCCCATACGTTGTAGTGACCGACGCTTCAGATCAGGCCATAGGAGCAGTGCTTCTTCAGGACCAGGGACGCGGGTTGCAGCCGATCGCGTACGAGTCGCGTAAGCTTAGGGGAGCGGAGTTGAACTATCCCATACACGACAAGGAGGCGCTCGCGATCATCCATGCGTATAAGGTGTGGAGGTGCTACGTAGAGGGGGCAGATAGTGTGATACGCACGGACCATTGCTCGCTTCGCTCCGCAGCTGAGTCGTCGCCAGGCTAGATGGATGGAGTTCATGGAGGGGAGTTTCCACTACAGGATCGAGTATAAGCCAGGCGTGCGCAACCCAGCAGATCCGCTCACTCGCCCTAGTTGCCAGCTCGCTAGCCTCACAGTCACTGCCGGCCATCCACTTCTCACAGCACTCTTCGAGCACGGTTACACAGTAGATCTCGACTTCACACCGCAGCCGCCCGCAGGAGCAGAGGTGCAGGGTAGTGTCTACATACGGAAGGGTACCACACGGATTTGGGTTCCAGCCTACCGCCCTCTTCGACAGCTTCTTCTCTCAGAGGCGCACGACGTAGTTAGTGCAGGTCACTTCGGAGCAGATAAGACGGCTAAGACGCTTAGTCGCACGTACTACTGGCCAGGGCTTACAGCAGACGTAGAGGATTACATTCGCTCGTGCGACACATGTCAGCGTACGAAGTCCTCTCGCCAGCGCAAAGCAGGACTCTTGCAGCCGATTCCACCGCCCGACCGCCCTTGGCAGGTAGTTACCATGGACTTCATCATGGCTTTACCGCGCACAGTTAGGGGTCACGACGCCATCTTCGTGGTAGTGGATAAGTTTTCTCGAGCAGCGCACTTCATCCCCACGCACGGCAAGGTCACAGCAGAGGAAGCAGCGACGCTGTTCGTAGATAACGTAGTCCGACTGCACGGGGTTCCAGATTCCATCATCTCAGACCGCGACCCTCGTTTCACTTTGAAGTTCTGGAAGCAGCTTTTCGCACTGTTTGGGACTCGCTTAGCCATGTCGTCTGCGTACCATCCAGAGACAGACGGACAGACCGAGCGTGTGAACCAGACCTTGGAGCAGATTCTTCGCAGCATTACGATGCATGACGCAGCCGCATGGGACAAGAAGCTGAGCATGGCCGAGTTCGCCTACAACAACACGCACCACTCGTCCACAGGCATGTCACCGTTCTTCGCACTGTACGGTCAGCACCTCAATGTCCCCACTCGTGTCGATCTCACACCCACAGTCCCTCGTGCGGACAACTTCCACCAGCATCTCACCTTCATTCACGATCACGTGAGGAAGCACCTTGAGCTCGCAAATGCACGCATGGCACGCACCACCAACCGCAGTCGTCGTGAGGTGTCGTTTTCAGTTGGCGACCGTGTCCTTCTCGACAGCCGCAACCTCCGACTGCCACAGGACAGCAAGCTTCGCCCTCGTTTCATTGGTCCATTCGTCATTGAGCGTGCACTAGGTCCAGTCGCATACCGCCTTCGCCTTCCCGCTCATTTCCGCATGCACCCGTCATTCCATGTGTCGCTTCTTCTTCCTTACACCGATCCCAACGCCACCTTCTCGGGCCGTGACCGCACTCCACTGCCGGTAGCTGTTGACACCGACGAGCCCGACTACCAGATCCAGCGCATCCTCAGGCACCGTCGCCGTCTCCAGGGGGGTGTCCCTTTCATCGACTTCTTGGTTCGTTGGCGTGGTTACGACGCAGCAAACGACAGCTGGGTTCCTTCGTCCTCGCTGTCTCCCGACAACGCTTGCCTCCAAGCGTACCTCCAGTCTGCAGGCGCCGCGAACGTCGCCTCCTTGGGAGGGGGGTAGTGTTAAGGGGGGATTTACTGTTCATTCCGAACAGTACTTTCCAACTCACCCTTATCCTTATCTTCCTTGATTTCCTAGTGCCACGTGGCACTCTACCTTTCTTGCCTTCAATTCCTAGTCCCACGAAGTACTTTCCGACATTCGATCTTGCATGCTATATCAACCTTGCTTGTACTTGCCATTATCAATCAACTCTCATTTAACTCTTCAATTACTCAGTTACCTCTTCGCCTATTTCGCCAACACTCTCTTTCGCCAAAGTCTTCTGCCGCGTTTATCCTCAATTTAGTCAACCCCGCTATTCCTTAGCGGATTTAGGCCAAGGGGCCTAACAAAATGAACTTCAATTGATTTTTCCACAAAATGCAACAAGCTCAATAACCTTGTTCAGCCATCGATGGTATTCATTTAAGCGCGACAACATGTAGGAAACTAGCTATTGCAGTAAAAATACGCAACATATTATTGAAAGCTTATTTATTTTCATAAATAAGCTTTTTACATACTATTAATTAGGGGGCACACAACACAATCCAAACTACAACGATTGGGTTGTTTGTTGATATTCTTTCCCGCATGACTTCGCAAGTGACTTAGCAAGTTTTGGATTCAGCTTTGAGAGTTCACATAAATGAGTACACATCATGACCCAGAAATGAGAAACTTTTGAACGAGAGTTTTCAAGAATGTCTCACTTCATCACCCTCCGACCATCCTCACCCCCTTTCTTGCCCACCCTTTTAACCTCCTCTCCTCACCTCCGATGCCCCAGACGCCGGTGGCGCAGCACATTGGCCGGCACCACACACTTAGCATGCCCCGTAATTGGCACACTTGACATGCATGTAAGTATTAATCGCAATCGTCACATCCCTTACCATCAATTACCCCATCTACCCCTCTCTCTCCCCTTCTTACCTTCCCCAGGCGCCTCCTCTACGTTAGGCGCCAGCATCACACGTTAGGCTTCCTGTGCCAAGGGGGGGTACGTGGGCCAGGGAGGTGGGGGAAGGGAGAAAGGGGAATCACATTCAACCCAAAACAGCCTGCCAGCATACGCCGCCGCATCGCTCCCTGCTTCCGCACGAGAAGAGGAGGGGGGATGTGGCGCAGATAGTGGGATGGGGATGGGCATGGGGGGATGGGAGGATGGAAGGGGGGAGGAGGTATTTTTGTTGGATGCACGTCATTCTGAGTGCATGTCATCCTAACGTCTTGCCGAGTGCTCGTGCTATTCATGCGTGCATTGTTTGCATGAGCATATGTCATTGTGCATGGCTGTTGAATGTCTCTGTGTTTTTCTCCAAGTTTAAATGCTTGATCATGCAGGAGAAATCCAGAGCTTTCCAACGATACCAATATCGCCTTATTCCGACCAAGATCGCCCAAGTTACAAGATTTCCAAGACTTGGATTTCTTATTACCTTTTGGGGTTATATCTAATTTGGGTGATTACTTGGTCATGACTAGAAACGGATCTTTGGTTGGGTGGTTAGGGAAGGCAACCTTGACTTTTGGATTGGGGTGGCTATAAGTTTCTAGAATGGGTTGCAAATGCTGCAACACCTAAGCAAAATCCAACTAGATTGGATTTTGCATGTGACACCTCAAGGACCTCATGATGAGGGTTGCATCCTTGCTGCTAGGAAGGTTCCTACCATCCTTCCCTAGCTCTTGGAGAACCCCTTCCCTCTCATGGTTCTCTTGGAGTCCCCAACTCCAACTTCCTATGCCCTAATGTTTGTACTTCCTCTACCATTCCAGTCAGGCTGGACGTTTTTACATGGTTCTCACTCTATAGACCATCTTAACGACTGATTCAAATTGGGGATGGTAGCTAAGCCTAAGGCGCACTTTCCTACTGAGCGGATTTGCGTTTAGTTGAGTAATGAGTTCATCGTAAGCTCTCAAAGTGACAGATCCTGAACAACAATTTTGCCCCAAACAGGGCGTTGCACGGCCCAAATGGATAAAGAAAACTGTTTATTGAGCCGTCTCAAGAACAATTAGAGGGGGCAGAGATGTGAGAGAGATGGGTGTGAGGGGGTACACGGGTGTGAGGGGGGAGATGGGTGTGATGCTGTGAGCATATGAGCAATCGCCAAGGTACAGCTAGAAACGCCTCTTTCTGAAAATGTGTGCCCTTGCACTCCGCTTCAGCCACTCCCCCCGCCCTCCCATCGTCCCCCCGCCCTCCCATACTTCCCCCGCCCTCCCGTCCTCCCCCGCCCTCCCATCCCCCCCCCGCCCTCCCATCGTGCCACCGCCCTCCCATCCTCCCCCCGCCCTCCCATCTGCTAGTAGTGCAAGGGGGAGCCTCTCACGCTCCACCTATCGCGTGACTCCTCTTCTCATGAGCAAGCACATATATCCTCGCACACCCATCCTCGCAATACCTCCCATCTCCTCCATGCCTCCCACCATTGCCATACCTCCCATCTCCCCTATTCCTCCCACCATAGCCACACCGGCTCATTCGCTTCTGCTATGGTGTCTGCCTCTCCTTCCCCCGCCTCACACCCGCACCCGTCCTCCCTCTCCGAAGTTGCTTGGTTCACCCACACCCGTCCCCTCTCTCCCCCTCCGCGGTTTTCCTAGTTCCCAAGCTCATGCCCTGCTACCCGCCCCCACCCGCCTGGCCCCTTCTATAGCTTCTGGAGCAAAATCCTGCCCCTTCCCTCTCTCCCGCCCTTCCCAGCCCTCCGCCTGCCCCTTTTGCCCTCCTCCCCCATCTTGCTCTGCTCGCTGCTCCCCCTTCTCCTGCCCCTCACCTTGTTTCCGCCAAACCCAAGCCACGTGCCCAGCATCCCCCCTTCCCCTTCCCCACTCCGCGCCTCCCGCGCTCTGCCTCCCCTTCTTCCTTCCCGCGTTCGCCCATCACTGCTGCGCCTCTGCGCTCCCCCTCACAATGGCGGCCAAACTGATTTCCTGGTAGAGATGGCGAGCTCTCACGGTGGCGGCGGTGGAGGCGCACGCGCGCAAGGGGGATGGCGGCGGAAGCGGTACCACCGGCGTTGGGAGTGGCGGTGGTGATGTAGCGCGACCAGCGCGGGCTCCCACCTTCTCCCCTCGTTTTTCATCCCCTCCTTCCCCATTCTTTGCCCCTCCTCCCCTCCCTTTCTCTTCCTTGCATCTGTCCCCTTTCCCTCGAACTCCTTCCCCTCTTGCCTCCCTCTCAGCCCCCCTCCGCGGCCCCTCCACGCCCCACCAACCGCCCCTCCTCAAACTCTGCGCAAACCATACGCGCCAGCATCCCCCCTTTCCCCTCCCCCATTCATTGGGCCACCCCTCCCCACTCCACTGCTGCCCCCATTTGCGCTCCCCCTTCTACTGGAGCTCAAAACAGTTACGCGGACTCATGCGAAGGCGGAGCCGGCGGTGGCGGTGGTAGGGACATTGATAGGGGCGTACGCGCATCGGGAGTGGCGAGGGTGGCGCCGGCGGCGGAGGTGGCAGCGGTGGCGGTGGAGAAGAAGTAACCCAGGCGCAGCGCATTGGCGTGCGACTGGCCAGGCTTCCACCGCTACTTCGCTGTGCTGCGACAACCACCACTCTGGCCTGTGCTGATCACAGCGACGCTGCTGCTGTCGCGGCCGCTATAAGCCCCACTTGCGCGCACATGCTTGCCCCACCCGCCATTCCTTCTGCTCCTCGCGATGTCATTTCTCTGCCATCGCAAATCGATATTTAAGCGCCTTGACTTGGAAATTGGAATCGCAGCAGCTCCGTTAGCAGCGTGTTTGAGCTCGGGTGTGACCACCTGGTGGGCGCATCTGGGTGGTGAAGCGGGTAGAGGGACGAGAGGGGGGAAACAGGTGGTGGGCCAGTAGTGCGTCCCCCAAGGGGTTCATCTCCCGAGTCACCACGCGCTGGGCATATCTGGGTGGGGGTGGGGGCAGAGAGAGGTTTTAGGTGGATGGGTCATGGAGGGGAGGAAGGGGGAGGGAGGGTGGGCCAGCAGTTTGGCACAACCAGTGTACTCACCGTCCTACTTGCCTCTAGCCCCACCAGTGTCCATCCATGACCATCTCGGGGGTTTCATGACCGGCTGCTGCTGGGTGTGCCTGAACTGGAGGAGCTAGAGGCAAGTGGGGCAGTGCGTGGTTGGGTGGAAGGAGAGAGGGGGTGTGAGGGAGGACGTGGGTGCAGCGAGGAGTGCGGGGCAGGTGAAGGTTCAGGGGAGGGTTGTGAGAAACATGACAATATAAAGGCATGTCTTGATGTCTCGGGTGAAGGCTCGAGGCAGGGCGGTGAGGAACAAGCGATTACCGAGGCACAACGCCATATTTCATCTTATCAATGGTGTTTGGCGGTTAGTGGTCAACTGAAAGCCTCACCTGCTACTTGCCTGCGCTTTTGCAGAGTTTTCTTTTAAGAATTCTTAAAAAACTCCCTGCTCACCGTGCCGCCTTTTTGCCCTCTCTTTTGTTCCCATACCTTCACCTCCCCTCCCACCTCCCTTCCCCTCTCCTCCCATCCCTTCTCGCCTCCCTTTCTTCTCCCTCGCCCTTGCCTGCGCACCCCTTTCTCATCCGTCCGCCTCCCATGCATCTCCCTCTCGCCCACTCTCTGCTCCTCCCTCGCCTCTCCCCTCCATTCCGCTTCCACCTCTCCTGTCGCCCTTCTCTCCTCCCTGCCCTCCACCCCACCCACACTCCCCTGATCCCAAACTACCCTCTCCCACCTCTGGTCCCTTGCTTCTCCCTTCCCTGGCCTCACCCTTCCCCCTCCTATCCCAACCACTGTCGCATCACACACCCCTTTACGCCTCTCATGCTCCAACCATCCCCATGCACCACACCCTCCTTTTCCTCCTCTTCCTCTCCCTCTCCCTCTCCCTCTCCATCTCCCCCCCCCTCTCCTTTTCCCTCCCACCGATCCTCCCCTATTCCCTCCTCTTCCGTTACGTCCTTCTGTTCCCTCCCCCTCCCCCTCCCCCTCCCCATTCTCCCCCGTCTCCCCCTCCCTTCCCAACCCCGCGCCTGTCTCGCCACCACCACCAGACGCTTCAAGCAGCTCACTCGCTTCTGCTTCGGTGTCTGCTTCTCCTTCCCCCGCCTCACACCCATGCTCTTCCACGTTGCTGCCTTCACCCGCAACCGTCCGTTCCCGCCAGTTTCCCTCCGCGTCCCTCCCTACGCCCCTCCCTCGTTCCCCCAATTGTGCCCTCTACCCGAGCTACCTATCACCCCTTTCCCGCGCTCTCCTCCCGTTCCTCTCTCCTGCCCTTCCCCAACCATCTGCCTGCCCCTTCAAGGGGCGAAGTTCGCCCCTCCGCCGCCCTGCTGCCCCCCGTTCTCCCACCCATCTCATCATTTCCGCGAAACCCAAACCACATGCGCTAATATCCCCATATTCCCCTCCCCTTCCTGCAACTCCCCCCCATTCCGCCTCCCCTTCCCCCACCACACGGCCACCCGTAATTTATGCCCCTATCTGCGCTCAAACCGATTTTCGTCGGCTCTCGCGGAGGCGGCGGTAGAGGCGCGCGTGCAGCGGGAATGGCGGCGGTAGCGACGGGGGCGGCGGTGGTGGCGATGGCGAGGAAATGATCCAGGCGGAGCGCAAATAACGCAGGCTTCCACCGCCTCTTCGCACTGGTGCCGCCGCCACCACTCCGGCCTGTGCTGCTCACGGCGATGACTGTTTCCGCCACTGCAGCCGCCAAGAGTCCCGCCTGCGTGCCCCCATCCGCCATCGCTGCTGCTCCTCGCGCCTCTGATGTTGCGCCTCTCCGCCGTCGCGAATCGCTTCTTCTCGCTCTCGTCGTCTACTGCCGTTCAGTGTATCGCTGTTTTGTCGCCGTCCATTGCTGTCTCGTCGCACTATCTGTCACACTGTCTGTCGCCTTGTCTCGTCGCCCTGTCCGTCGCCCCGTCTGTCGCTTTCATACGTGGTTATTGTCTATCGCCTTTTCATTGTCAACAGTCGCTTTTTTGTCACTCTGTTTGTCGCTTTTTTGTCACTCTGTTTGTCGCTTTTTTGTCCCTCTGTCGATGTTTCGTCGTCTATCGTCGTTCTGTATGTCGCTGTTTTGTCGCCGTCCGTCGCTGCCTCGGATTTTGAGCCACTATTTGACGCGGCTGCTGTGACTTCAGCCTCGCGAGCGGGCCATGCTCAACGAAGGCTAATTCAATAATGTAGTTCATTATCAGTGCACGCCATTCAAGAATGACCAGGAATGCACTGAAACTAGAAGGCTGAAGAATGCTACTGAATGCTGAGTACGTAGCAAGAACCTCGGGGTAGCGAGGTTCAAGTGTAGCGAAAGGTGCAGTGGCGTCTCGGAAGTGGTTCGGGACATTGCGTAACTGGTTTTGGGAGGTTTGAAAGTGGTTCGGTGCGGTTCGGAAGTGGTTTGGAACGAACCACCTGACGCGAAGTCCTCGAACATACTAGCTACTCTAAGGCTACAGTGAGATTTTTTTATTCATTACACAAACTCAACGAATTTGTTAAGGGGGGATTTACTGTTCATTTCGAACAGTACTTTCCAACTCACCCTTATCCTTATCTTCCTTGATTTCCTAGTGCCACGTGGCCAAGGCTCTTGCTAGGATTTAGGCCTGTCTGAAGTCCCCCCCCCAAAAAATCGTTTCGTCTGACGTTCAGACGGGCAAAAAGATAAGGTCTGATTTTTCAGACGCAAGTTGGAGCTTAGTCTGATTCATAAGACAAAATGTTTTCCATGGTCTGATTACTGTATTACACTAGTCAGCCATAAAAACTGTATGATTCAGTCTTTACGAAGTACGAAATGAATGCGCGACGTTGACAAAGTCATAGCAAGTTGGGCGCCTAGGGGGACTGGGGGGGGGGGGAGTTGGGCTGCGAGGGACATGCATGGGTGGGTCCGTGTCTTACGCGACGGACCAGGGGGGTGGAGGGACTCGAGGGGAAGGGGGCTGGGCTGGGAAAGGTGTAGGGGAGCTAGGCGGGGGAAGGGGGGATGGACTGGGGTTGCGCAGCGAGAGGCTGGGCTGGTAGACGGGTGACTTGGTGGTGAGGTTGGGTTAGGAGAAGCGCGTGAGGGACGGGACTTACGGCGCGTGAGGGGAGGGGGGGGGTGGGAGGGGGAGGGGGCAGGCCAGTACGGTACTTTCTCGGTATCAGATGAAATTGTACGCGCTTTCTGAATTTTCAGACGGAATATAACACTTAGTCTTTTTTTTCAGACGAAATAAAATCATTCGTCTTGTGGTCCAGATGAAAAAAAAAATCTGGTCTGGAAGATCAGATTAAACAAAGAAATCAGGTCTGATTTTCAGACCATCAGACCGATTTGGTCTGATAACCAGAGCCCTGCACGTGGCACTCTACCTTTCTTGCCTTCAATTCCTAGTCACACGAAGTACTTTCCGACATTCGATCTTGCATGCTATATCAACCTTGCTTGTATTTGCCATTATCAATCAATTCTCATTCAACTCTTCAATTACTCAGTTACCTCTTCGCCTATTTCGCCAACACTCTCTTTCGCCAAAGTCTTCCGCCGCGTTTATCCTCAATTTAGTCAACCCCGCTATTCCTTAGCGGATTTAGGCCAAGGGGCCTAACACTTGGTATCAGGAGCCTTCGCGGGGAGCGACTTCCAACGAGCGACCGTCGACAACGAGACTACGACGTCATCGTCCCGCGGTGCCGACTTGCAGACTTGGAGTCGTCGAGCCAACATGGACGAGACCATGAACGCTCTCCCCAACGACATGGGCAACACGCTTGCTTAACTCATGCGCCAACTCGAACAGTTGACGTTGGAAAATCGTCAGGTACGGGCTGAAATGCAACAGCTTCGTAAATTCGCGTCAATTTCTCATGGTCATGCCGCACCATCTCCTGCACTCAACACGTCGACTGGCACGGAAGCGCTGCCGGAACGTCGAAGCGCGCTCAAGCCGCAGAAGCCCGAGCCGTTCGACCCAAGCCAACGCGACGCGAACGTGCGGACGTGGATCTTCATGCTCAACAACTACTTCGCCACGAGCGGGGTGCAAGAGGCGGACGCGCAGCAGCGGATCGAGTACTCCGTTACGCTGCTGAGGGGCCCGGCCTTGGAGTGGTGGCGCCAACTCACGCAAACTGCTGTAAGAAGGGCTCAGACAGACGGGCATCAACAGAGCGTGGGGCATGCAGCTGCAACTTCGAGCTTAGGGAGTTTAGCTTTAGGTGTTACCACGGTTCCGACGACATGGGAAGGATTTGAAGCGGCGCTGAAAAGCAGGTTCGATTTGGTGAACGCCTCCGAAGCTGCTAGGAAGCGTCTGCGTCATTTCCGACAGATAGGAAACATCCAGGAGTACACACGACGGTTCTTGAGCATCTGCAACGAAATAGATGACATCACGGAAGCAGAGATGCGCGATCGCTACCTCGAAGGGTTGAAGCCGGACATAGCGGAAGTTATAGCGATTCACGGGTTGTCCACCTTCGAGTCAGTTGTCGCAGCCGCAGAACGCGTCGACGCAGTACGAATCCGACGGGGTCGTGACGATCGCGATAGGGGATACAACAGACCGATCAACGACGCTCGATCGAGGGACGGACCGTTGCCCATGGAGATTGGTGCAGTTAACAGTGACGGCTCACAGAAGACAGGTTTTAGGGGGAACTGTCACTACTGAAAAAAGCCGGGACACATGAAGCGGGACTGCCCACAGCTTAATGAGCGGCAGCAGGGAAACGGAGACCGCCAGTAGATAGCGGGTCGCTAGCTGGTGTGGACGCTTCCGAACCCGCCAAGTCTACCGACGTAGAGGAGACAGCTCTGGAGCAGTCATCTACGCTGAACTCGGTAGACGCTGTTCATTATCCAGTCGTGCTTCTAGGGAAGCTTCGCGGTGTTCCAGTCAAAATTCTCGTAGACAGTGGAGCTAGCCACTCGTTCGTCTCTTCTTCATTAGTTAGTCGTCTCCATCTTGAAGCAGATTCAGCAGTCAACTTCAATGATGCTCGCATGGTAGATGGGACGCCGCTTCACATAGGACCGATCATCCGCAAGTTGCGCGTAGTGCTAGGACCGATCACGGTTAGGCGTGATTTCGACTCTGCGACGCTGGACGGATACGATTTTATCTTCGGGAGAGATTGGCTACGCACGGTTAGTACTCAGTTCGATTGGGCTCAGGGAAGCTGCAGCGTCAAGGTAGATGGCGAGTTCCGGGAGCTGCTACAGTGGAGCGATGCGGCCACATCCTCCACAGCTATCATTAATGCTGTTCGTGTGCGACAGTTAGTGAAGCGTGCGGCACGGATCTTTGCGGTTTTCCTTGAGGAGGTGGAAGCTGAGGAGGGGAAAGGAGGGAGTGCAGCAGTTGGTGCGAAGGCGACTCTTCCTACTGAGGTGAGTGCACTATTAGCAGAGTTCGCAGACGTCTTCCCCGACGAGTTGCCCCCAGGGTTACCTCCCAGCCGAGCAGTAGACCATCGAATAGAGTTGGAGCCGGGGAGCAGGCCCATAGCGAAGCCGCAGTGGAGGTTGAGTCCAGCAGAGACAGAGGAGATGACGCAGCAAGTTAGGCATTTCCTAGCGCAGGGGTTCATACAGCCATCTAGATCGCCTTGGGCAGCACCGATCCTTTTCGCGCCTAAGAAAGACGGAGGGTTACGGATGTGCATAGATTACCGCGCACTGAACGCCACCACCGTCAAGAATAGGTTTCCGGTGCCGAGAGTAGAGGATCCCCTAGATGCAGTGCAGGGCGCTAGAGTTTTCTCCAAGATCGACCTTCGTTCGGGTTATCATCAGATTCGCGTAGTTCCAGAGGACCAGCACAAGACGGCGTTTCGTACGAAGCAGGGGTTGTACGAATTTAGGGTTCTACCGTTCGGATTGACCAACGCCCCAGCGACGTTTCAAACGCTCATGAACACCGTCCTCTCCGAGTTCCTAGGTTCGTTCGTTGTAGTTTACCTAGACGACATTCTCATATTCTCCAAGACGAAAGAGGAGCACGTGCAGCACTTGCAGAAGGTCTTCGAGGTTTTACGGAGGGAGCAGCTGTACGCTAAGCAGTCGAAGTGCGAGTTCTTTCTTCCTGAGGTCGAGTTCCTAGGACACGTCGTATCCGCTAGTGGCATTAGGACCGACCCGAAGAAGATCGCAGTAGTACAGGATTGGGTAGCACCGACCTCAGTCAAGGAGTTACAGAGCTTCCTCGGTTTCGCGAACTACTACCGTCGTTTCGTTCAGGGTTACGCATCGATCGCTAGTCCACTCACCGACCTACTTCGGAAGGGCGTAGAGTACGTTTGGGGTCCAGCGCAGCAGCAGGCGTTCGAGCAGATGAAGCAGTCGCTCGCGTCTTCACCGACACTGTCGTACCCTGATCCCACTCGCCCATACGTTGTAGTGACCGACGCTTCAGATCAGGCCATAGGAGCAGTGCTTCTTCAGGACCAGGGACGCGGGTTGCAGCCGATCGCGTACGAGTCGCGTAAGCTTAGGGGAGCGGAGTTGAACTATCCCATACACGACAAGGAGGCGCTCGCGATCATCCATGCGTATAAGGTGTGGA